TCGGCAGTAGTCGACCAAGCACTGACGCCGTCCCAGTCAGTTTTGGCGCTAGCGCAGAGAAATGCTGTCGAAACCTCCATCGACTGTCCAGTGTGAGACCAAGATATTTCATTTTGGAGCCGACTTGGATGGAGGTCCCGCTTACCACTAGGTGGGCGCCTACCGGTGGGCCATTCCGAGGTCCATGGAAACACAGGACCTCCGATTTGTTAAGGGCTACCTCTAGCCCTAGCCGGCGGATTCTCCCCACTACTTCTGCCACCCCCGCCGTGGCCAGGATGGACGCCTCCCTATAGTATTCGCCGCGAGCTGTCACCAACGTGTCGTCTGCGTAACAGACGACGCCAACTCCAGGCATGAGACTCCCACGCAGCACCCAGTCGTATCCGAAGTTCCACAGGAGCGGTCCCAGGACCGACCCCTGTGGAACACCGCACGACACTTCCCATCGCCCCCAGACGTCTCTACCGGGGAAAATCACCTGACGCCCGGATAGGTAGGTTGCGATCACCCTCTGCAGATAAGGTGGCACCCCGTAATATCGCAGCGCTTCCCTTATGCATTCCCATGGCAAGGAGTTAAACGCATTAGTGATGTCTAAAGACACCGCTAATACCACCCCGCCACGAGATACAACCTCTTCTGAAAGGGCCCTCACCCGTGCAATAGCATCGATGGTGGACCTGTCCCGACGGAAGCCGAACTGAACATCCGCCAAGTTCGGACCTATTTCCTCCAGGTGGTGGATGAGGCGGGTTGCAATAACGCGCTCAAAGAGCTTACCCGCCTCATCAAGCAACACGATTGGGCGGTATGCCGATGCAGAATCTGCAGGTCGCCCCTCCTTTTTTAGGAGGACCAGCTTTCCCACTTTCCACCGGCTTGGGAAAAGCCCTTGTCTTAGGCACGCGGTGAGGAGTGCCCGGAAGCGGGAATCCAGGCCGTTTTTTAAGGCGAGGACCCATGCGCGTCCGGGGATTCCATCAGGGCCGGGTGCCGTTTTCTTTGCTTGAAGCCGCAACACGGCTGCACCCAGTTCACCCTCTGATACTTCCGGAATATCCCCATCGGCATAGGGCCCGTCTGTGTGTCCGGGGGCGTCATTACAGGAGAGACATAGTGGGGCCTCCTTGGGAACAAAGTGCTCACCACCCTGTTCAGAGCCTCGGGTGACATTGAGGACGTCAGTGGCGGGGTCCAAGGGCGGAGCTTGCTCATTACCAATCCATGTATGGAGCCTACACTACTACAGGATGACTTGCACGCTGCGACTACGTCCATAATCCTGCATTAAGCGTCAGACGGCAAGGCAGACTGCAATGCAGGATAACGAATGCCCCCTTTAAGGTTGGTTTCACAGCTGTGCGTACAGTCCGTGCGTATCCGTACGCACTGTCCGCCTGCGGGCCATCCACATGCGTAGAATCCGCAGTGCTCTGAATCGAGTATTTAATTTAGTGTGGATATTCACGGATGACAGTTGCCTACAATGACCGCTCAGGTGGCTTGTGCGGTGTTCACGCGGAGCACGTTCGCGTCACTGATAGGAACTTCGCACGTTTCTCAAACGTTGTGAACCTTCTTTTATATACAATTATACATACTTAATGAGTGAGAGATATTGCCAGTACACATTCACAAATATGTAAATTGGAAATTAACCATAGAGTACGAACTTGTCGCTACTGGAATTTGAATTGTTGACCTCCCAGTTGAGAAGCAGCCGGTCTCCCACTAGTCATTGAAGGTTTTTTCGAATTATTTAACTCTTATAAATTAATCGTCGTTAGACAGACAGAGAAACTTAAATAGTAACACGTCATCGTATCTTGCTTATTACGTTATGCTGCTTGTGACCACTGGCACTAAACTTAAGTATGTCTTAAACCGCACACAATAATAACGCACACACTCAACATAGCTCCGCACATTCCCTAGGGAAACCCTGTGTCGCGGGTGCTATGGACACACACATAGATAACCACAAATTACACCCAAAGTCACGAGAGAAATAAATGTAGGCCATACAAATATTTCTCCCGGCCCGGGAATTGAAACTGGGACCTCTGCGTGGCAGTCCGGCATGGTAACCGTTCGGCCACGGGGGCAGTAAAAACCAGTGCTTGCAATGTAAAAGTCACTCTTAATACATTGCCTTACGAGTGTCTTATCAATTTAATAATTGATTTGAGACTTACTTATTATTTAGTGCAAGTACTATTTTAATTACTATATTTTACTATTTTAATCTATTTTTTTGTGATAATACTCCACTGGTTTGTTATTATTATTAATTCAAAGATCGATTAAATATGAAAAAGAAAATCCTTCGATCCTTCAACCTCACTGGACAAGAACCAGCGACTGTTGCCTCACGCTATAACGGGACGAACAAGTCGTGCGCCTGGTGGTAAGGTACACGCCTGTCCATAACAGTTGCAGTGCCACTCAGAGCTTTAAATCGCAAAGATCTGAGGGGCACTGCCACCCTGAGACTTAAGTTGACAAGTTCCATGAGCCTGTAATTTCACCAGCACCCTTACGTTTCAAAACCAGAACACAGTAAAGCCGATAACTTGGCGGCTGAAATAGGTAAGGTACTTCCCTAGACGAACTCTTTCACAAGGAGCTCTACTGTTCTTTTTTTCATATACGTAACAGACAGATGACTCCACCCCACCTGATGTTAAATGGAAAGTGGATTCCAATGTGAAAGAACCTAGTGCAGTGTTGATAGAATAAATGCCCTAGCCACCTCCACGCTGCATGCCTACAAGATACCTTTTCACGCCTCGTTTGAAGGACCCCATGTCGTAAGAAGTACAAATGTACAATAAAAAACAATTCATTCGTTCATTCATTCATGTTTGTGACATATTTATAAAATGCATGAATCTTAGATAGATTTTATGTAATTCTTTATTTTTTTTAATTAGATAAGAGCAACAAATAACACTGAAATAAAGGTACCCAAGCAATGCAATACAATACCGGAGCTTTGTTTCAAATAATAATCAAACAACTACGACATTCTCAAATTAAAATACCAACTGTCAAGTATGAAATAAGCTGTTTAATTGATTAGCAAAACTAAGCGGAATTAGAAAAACAAGAAATGTATTGTACGACTACTTATTGTTGGAATCACATCGAATGTCAACGGCTGAATCGTTCAATGTGAAATCTGTTCATGGCGAATTTGCTATTGGTTTTTTTTTTGTTTAGCCTCTCAAATTACGGGATCCTTGATGAAGGGTGTGCCTATTATAGATTTTTTTATTTAACTTAGATCTATTCTATCATCATTGTAAATTCTAAGAAAAGAACCGTTGAAAGCGTACTTGCAAGAAGCATGATCCTCAGTAGCAAGGAACAGGCGGAAAAGGATTCTTTTTTTATAAAATCAAGTGACCGGACGAACAAGTCGTACGTCTGGTAGTAAGCGACCATCCTATTCATAACAGTTGCGGTGCCACGCAGAGCTTTTAATTCCAAATATCTTAGGGTCACTGTCACTGCGCCTGTCGCCCTGAGACAAGTTGACAAGTCCCACGTGGCTGTAATTTCATCAGCACCCTTACTCTTCAAAACCAGAACACAGTATTACTGACATTACTGCTTGGCGGTTGAAATAGGTAAGGTACTTTCTTGAACGAACACTTATGAACACATTCTTTAACAACTCTCCTGCTACTACATTTCTACAGGTTATTCTAAATATGTACGATTGGAATACTACAATACCGTTAATTGGGTTTTGCGCTTGAGCGATTAAAGTGGGAATAGCACCGTCTGCTTATCAGGGTGCCCGACAGGAGATGCCACGCACGACGTACCATTAATTCCTGTCCCGCACTCCTGACGCATCCTGGGCAACAAGAGGCGAGTATCTTACGCCGATAGAAAATCACCACGATGACAAGCATTATAGTGTATACCATCGATACGATAAGAAGAAGTTGATGCTTCAGTTAACTGCTAAATATCAACTGGCCACTTTAGATTCAAGGCTTATAGGTTATTCGGAATTGGTAGAGGCGAGGCTGCACAGCCTTGAACACCGCCGTAAAGTTGCCTGCTTATTGGTTTTCTACAGGATATATTACAGAGAGTGTGCGATGGAATAGCATAATTTAGTTCCGCCTTCCCCTTTCCATATGTTGTGGATATTTCCAGGATTCGCACGAAGCGACGACTTCCACATTTATATGGCGAGCGGGTATGGGGTGGAATTCTCTGCCTGCGGACTTATTTCCCGATCGCTATAACTTAGGCCTTGTCAAGGAGAGAGTGAATAGGCATTATTTAGGTGTGCATATTATATCGTCAACTTCATCGTCCCTTTCCATCAGGTCACATGCGCACTTAATTCTTTATAGAAAATAAAAACAAATAACATAAAATTTGATTCAAAGGCGTTATTAGTCTCATCGGATCCCTTTCACGAAACTTTTGGGCTGTTGAGGATTATAAGAAATTCGATATGTATATGTCTAGGTGTCTACTCAACTGTGGGACAAGAACGGGTTATTTCGTCTAAGACAGATGTTATAAATCAGTGTTGTGCAATTTCAATTAAAATTATAGTCGTATGTTTAATTAAAGATAACAAAACTGTACGTTATTGTAGTGAAAAGTATGAAATTATGTTTTATTGTTATTATCGTTCCAATAAAGATTTTAATTGAATGTGTTTCTTACAAATATTAATACAAAGATCGAACACTTAGAAAACATTCCTTCGATCCGGATAGATGGCGCTACGGCTAAAAAAATTCGAGAAACAAGCACATAGAAAAATTCACGAAGTCCGCTGGTTCGTTCCGTGACTTAGTTGGCACGGTTTGCTAGAAGACATCAGTTCGAATACGGCCAGATCGAAGGAATTCAATCCAAGTGTTCGATATTTGTATTAATAACTATAACAAACTAGTGGAGTAATTTCACAAAAAAATATTGAATATCAATTCAATACAAATTGAATGTGTTTTGTCTTACAGGTTTCCCGCAAATCAAAGGTTCTCCATACAGCCCTTCAAACCAGTCGCATCTCACAGGTTAGTTGTTTTCTTTTATGTTGGATCCTAAATACAAAAAAAAGTTAACAGTAATTTAAGTACCTAGACTTGAAATTGGGTATGATAACATAACAAAATTGAATATGTGTAATAATGTTTAGCAGTTGGTACTCCTATAAAGCCTACCTATATAGCTATCACTCCACAATTGTTCCTTACTTAAGGGTCCCAGAGCAATCAGATTGCTAGAATCTCTATATACCTCTATAGCTTTGTTGTCTGTATAAGTAGGTAGTAACTGATATATAAAATAATCAGTTAATATTGCAACATCTGACCTGCCAACCTCTCTGGCTGAAATTAATCGCAAACAATACATTTGCCGGTGATTTAGGAAAGTGGCTGCCCCCGTCCCCAGCGTGCACCCTTCGCAACGCGTCGCCCCGCGCCCCTCACCCCCGCCTTTGTCTCAGTAATGAATCCGACAAACGCTAAACGTCACCGCGCAGCCGCCCCATATCCAACCGATCACAGGCCCTATGCAAATTTTCTAATAAACGGAAACTGAACTCTATTTGCACGACCTAAAACATCCTTTCAATTAGCTGAAATTTTAGTTACAACGTTTTTAGAAGGCGAGAATGAAAGAATTTGCTTAGGACCAGGTTTTAGAAAATATCCTGTTAAATGCAAATTAGAGAGGTCGAGATAAAGATATAAGTTGGGGTACTTGGATTACTTAATTTGGGATGACTTTTGTTTTCGTCCCATTGTGCAATGAGAGGAATACGCAATTATGGAAGTGGCTCGGCTTTTGCGAGAGGGCTTAGAGCCACTGTGTGTCACTGTAGATCTAAGAGCAATGTAGGAGCAGCGCTGTGTATGCGGTCGATGTGTGTTCGCAGTGAAAGGCGCTCGGAAAACAAACCACCTGCCGCTCCCCACGGCAGCCATTTGTAAAAATTGCCTCCGCCATTTCTACGCGAGAATTTCATATTTGGAACGCTGCGGGGTGCACATTCGACGTTTCATCATGGCCGCGCGATTTTTTCTAAAACAATACCCGCGATGGCCGTTTCGACTTGAACCATTGTTTAGAACGCCGCCATATTTAATTTGAAAATTAGGGGTCCTATTATGTTGCCTGCAAATAAAATTCACGTTGAGGCCCAATAATGGCTTTGTGACTTCATTGGTCATACCCTACTTTGCAGGTTGTAGAGTCATGGACCAATAACACACCCTACTTTGTTCAGTTTTCGAATTCCTTTCTAATAACTGGAACACTTCTCAATCGCCTGCTCTCACGCTCGCATTCGTAGTGGTCTTAATGCCAAATTACGTAAAATCGGAACCAAAAAATTAAATTTTAGAAGACGGGTCTTATTTTATAAATTAAAGCAATCTCTAAAACAATGAAATTAATCTTAAAAACTTAAACACGCTAGCTATTCTCTCATCTGTATTACATCTATATTATATATTAAGTAGCAGTAGAGTCCCTTGTGAAAAAGTTGATCCAGGGAAGTACTGCCACCTTACCTATTTCTGCCGCCAAACAGTAACGTGGGCATTACTGCGTTCCGGTTTAGAAGGGTAAGGATGCTGGTGAAATTACAGGCACATGGGACTTGTCAACTTATGTCTCAACGTGACGGGCGCAGTGGTAGTGCCCCTAAGATCTTTGCGATTTAAAGCTCTGAGTGGCACTGCAACTGCTGTCGCTTATCACCAGGTGCACGACTTGTATGTCGCGTCACTTGGTATTTTAAAAAAAAATTATAATAATAAATACTTACAACTACTTACTTTATTTCATAGAGCGCTTATATTTTGTAATAATATATGTAATGCATATCACTTAATATTTTATCATTTATCTTCGAAAACTTCGTTCAGATTGTAGTAGCATTTTTGTACTAGAAGATTTTTTAGATATTCATTGAATATTTTAATTTTATCTGTACGATAAATATGGTTGGATATTTTATTATATTTTTTTACTATGGAATGCGGGCTTGATAAAAAATAGGTAATGTATTTTTATCTGTGTTCACTCCTGTTATTACGTTTTATATTAGTTAGTGGTGAATAAAGGTGCCTATGTTTCCTAGCAAATTTGCAAGCCTCCAAAATATTTATTGGTGTTAGAATCTTATATTTGATAAAGTAGACCTCTACATGAATCAATTTGTTTAACGTTTGCGAGAGTTTCAATGGTTTACTGTTTTATAGTGAATACCACCATTTAATTAATGGCCAAATAAAATTTCAACTAAATTATATAACCATATTCGTAGTAGCTTATGACGGGGACTTAAGTTCTAAATATTTAACGATATCATTTTCATGTAGCTACTTACACATTTGCAGCCGTAGTAGTGTCAAGTTACAAGGGTTAGTTACGGGGTACCATGTTTCGCTAAATGGATCTCAAAAAATAGTGCGATTTCTTTGTAGTGTACAAGTGCTTTCTGTGTACCTGCCACCTACTGCTTCTTCATAGAGAAGTATCAACAACTTACTGATGAGATGCAATGATTTACACGCATACATTAGTGGACGTTACATTAAGACGAGAGTACGGTGGACAGCAAAGTGTTTATGTGAGTAATACAAGTACATGTCAGTGCCATTAAGCTTTCTGGCAATAAAAGTAAGATTTAACCGCCGTGAATGCCTGCGTCTTACATTAATTTGGCTAATACACCATGAATTCAATTGAAATTAATAAATAAATATTAAAATATTCCTTTTGTTATTTTTATACTCTAGTTACGTACGGATTCATATTTTCATTTTATGTTCAGTCATGTTCTTCTTTGACTTACGAGAATTGAATTAATACATGAGGTGGAAATTTATAATATGTCACTTTACTATATAGGTTTGGCGTCTAGGGAACGGAACTAGTTTTTGTCAGTAGCGATCAAAAGGTTAACCAATTTTTTCCCTAAAACGTATACGTTTTAGTATTAATTTACTATAACATAACAGCAGTCATCTTACTACAATCATATGCATAGGTACTGTGTTTTATACAAAAATATTGACGGGATCACCCGTCAGGGATAAAATGTAATTATATAATCAATTTAAGCACTATGACACAAAGTAAAATATTGACATTTTGGTGTAAAGTACCGCATAAGTATTGTCCATGAACGTGTTAAAAACCGTAATATTAATTAAGTACCAACTAATAATACACACAATCAAAACAAACATAACACCGCCGACACTAAACGCTTGAGTTTATTTAATGAAGTCACTAAACTCGCAACAAGCAGGGCAAAGTGTCACACATTAGTGTAACGCGACACTCCGGACACTCAATCAGAGTTGTTCATATCGCCGCTACACCGCCGCCACTTAGCGCGACACTCGATACACACCAACGCTAAATAACCACAGTATATTAGTTTTAGGGATCCGTGCGTAAAAGTATCTAATTCCGATGCCGCTGGCGTAAATGGGCGCCTTTGTTGAACAGAAACTTTGAAATAAGTTAACTAAAGTACTTAATGTTGACTATTGGAAAATTTAACGTAAATTAAATTAATGTACGTTTTTTAGTTTTACTAGTTTTACTAATAGTCGGAAGTAAATGTCAAGAAATTACCAACCAAGATAGTCAGTCGATAGTACCCGAAAGGTTTCTTAATATTGCTTTTTTAATATTCTTCAAAAAAAAGGAGGAGGTTAAGTGTTGGGCTGTATGTATGTTTTCCGATTTCTCCCTCAATTGCGGACCGATTTTCAAAATTCTTTTTTTGTTTGAAAGGGTATAGTCACGAGGTGGTCTCTGATGCCAACGACAGCGAATGACAACGCTGATCCAGGTTCATTTCGGCTATCACAAATATATTAATTATTTTCCGCTAATGAAAGTCGACTTTTCATTTGACACAATACATGCAATCAACAAATCACCGTCACCATGACAACCAAAAAATAGTATAAAATGTACAAAGAAGTTCGTAACAGTCCCATATTCACCAAGAAGTCAGAATCTGATGAGAGGATCCCATGGAAATCGAAAAAAGCCGATAAGCAAACTTTTGAGGTCGGTTTTTTTTTTCAATGAAAAGTTACAATTATTGTTACTGATTTTCATCAGAAAATCAAATAAAAATAACTGAAAAACGGTAATTAAATGAAGTGTGATAAAAAGTGTATTTTGTCTTCTACTTAAGTACCTATAGGTACTGCGAACTCTTATAAGACTACTAAACTATAAAACTTAAAAAAAAGTCACTACACTGACGTCACTATTAATGTCGTAAGATTTTTAATGCTAATAAATTGTTGATTGCACTTTATAATTCCAACAAAAACGAATAGAAAGACAAACATTATTAGAACTTGTACAGATCGAAATGCGATCTCTATCTAGAGTACACAAACGCACACTATGCGGGGCTATGACTGTGTGTTTGTGTGTGCACACACTAGGGAAACCCTGTGTCGCGGGTGCCTTGGATACACACATAGACACCCACGAATTACACCCAAACTCACAAGAGAAATAAATGCAGGTCATTCAAATATTTCTCCCTGCCCGGGACTCGAACAAGAGACCTCTGCGTGGCAATCCGGCTTGGTAACCGTTCGGCCACCGAGGCAGTTACAGTAGAGTACTTGTCTAATACAAAGAATAGAATTTAAATACTCCTTAGTAATAAGTAATTAATCAAATTGCATTATATTTATAATAAATAGTAATCTGTGTGACAAACCCGGTGATATGGAGCTTGGTGACAGAACCCTAATCTCAAAAGGTGCACTTTTTTTAACCTGTCGGCGTGTGAGCAGTCAACAGTTGCTACTTGTCTTGCGGCGACAGAAAAAGTTCCCTAGCGTCTGCGGTAACGTAGACTGTACCCGACAACGCGTTGCGGTGGACGCAGACATGTAACATTGTTATTGTTTATATGTTAACACAGCGGCAATATGTTGAGGTTTGCCGGCTGTCGCGTTTGATCCTGGCGCCTCCGTTGAAGAGTGCGGATGTAAAAAAAAATACTAAGAAAAAATCA